TCGTAAGAAGATTAATATTATCTGCTCTAGTGGTGTAGAATAGGGGCCCCCCTGGTTTGGTGATAATTTTCGTTCAGTTTTGATGAAATATCATTTTTGGTTACTATGATATATTTTACGATCTTTGCTTTCAAACCCGTCACTGCCGTATTTAAAATGAAAGGTATTGTGTAATAAATAAAATAACTTAATTATATTTTGATATATTTCAACCATTATTATTGTTCTCTGTACTATATAATTTAACGTAATCTAAAAATATTTACAACAATACTTAAGTTTAATAAACAGTTACAAAAATATATGAAAAACTAAATTTATGCCATTGTTGGAACAATGAGCATGTTTTAAAACATTGTTGACATCTTTAAAATCCATCAACAAAGGTATGTAAAAAGATAATTTCTCATTCTTGTTTGAGATTTCTCAAGTGAACTACTTACTTTTTGAGTAAAAATTCAAAAAGGCGCTTATTGAAATTAATCATGAGTGAATATTACATATTTGCTCTCTTGAATAATTGGGAGAAGGAACGGGAGAAATATCCCAGACCTAATCGTATGTATAAAAATCATATTTTTCATATTTTTGTAATGTTAAATATATATGGATACCTGACTAGAACAGTTAAGGACTATCTAAAACTAGTGTACAGCATAAATATTTCTCTGGAATTTTTAATAAATAAAAGAAAAAAAGTTTTGACTTCGTAAATTGTAATTGTCTTATAGATTTTAAGAGACCCTTTAATATTCATTTTGATACAGCTTTGAACTTAAAGGATAGTCCAATGAAAATTCTCTGGTCCACTACAGTATTTAATCATTTAATAAAATGTTTTTAGAGCCATGCAAAAACATAAGCAAAGCATAGACTTCGTATTTTCATAAAATTGATTATAAACATTTCAAAATTTTTTTATACTTTTTTAATTTTACGTAGGTTTGTAATTTAAAATAATATTCTATATCATACTGCATTTTTTCAACTTATTTAAATAAATTATAAGTTTAACAAATAAAAAACTGTCTGCAAACAACTGTATAAATGATGATAAAATTTTGACAATTCATTGGCAGGTATTATTTTGGTAAGTTTATTGGCACTACTGCTTTAGTACACCTTACCCAAATCAGTGATGTTAATCAATTTAAAAACTGAAAAAGAATAGAAAATTCCACAGAAATAAACTATTATATAAAACAAGACATTAAAATTGAGTTTTATCCCAAAATTTAAGATCTTGCAGTAGTATGAAAGACAGAATTTGAATTCACCAAACCATTGATTTATTATGACAGTTAAAAACATTCACTAACATTGTACGGAACATTTTATTCTTTAGAAAGATGTTGCCCTTTTTTACTATTTGTGCTAACGTAATCATCAAATTAATATAATTTGTAATTATATATCTAAAATTTTATTTTTTGTTGTATCATGTTACCTCTTTGTAAAAATAATTACTCTTTGAGAAACGACACAAGTAGGCTAACGACTACTTTAGCTGAGATACGCAAAGTTGCTTTAAATATTTGTATAACAGAACAAGATTTCTTTACAAATTATTTTGTAATCAGTTTAAACAAGGTTTGAAATAAATTTCACTCGTAACCAAATGAAACAAGTCAGTCAAAACATGCTAAAACTCTTTCATAGTCTCTTATGGGATAGCCAAAGTGCGGCAGCTGTGCCAAAAACTGGCACTTTGTACTTTTTAACAGAGGAATGTTACGACTTAATGAGAAATTGAAAATTTTATATTACTTAAATTTTATTTGCAAAAAAGTGTTACTTTCAAACACACGTCCTAAAAATATTTCTTACACAACCAGAGAATGAGCGATCTTCGGAAGGGTGACACAGTAAATCAAAGTGAGTTTTAAACAGTAACGTGGGAAGACTTATTGGAAAATTAACTTTTAGGGAAAAAAATGCCACCTGTAGGAAATGTTGCATCTTTAAAAGTCTCATTCATTATTTTGCCTTGAATTTAATAGCGGCAGAAAGAAGCGCAGCTTGAGTTTTTCTTATGGACGTAATAAAATCACAATACTGTTTAATATTAAGTTATTCACTTGAATGCAAAATTTATAAACATCTTGAAGAACCGATCCTAACAAAGTGGTTGAACAACAAATTTAAAAACCACACCGAGTATCGACTATTCAGTTAATTATTTGGAATTAAATGTTTCAATCTATGCTTTGATTTTTAATTACTTAACTAAACTTAACTATTTACTTAAGTGAACCTCTCAAATTGTTCTTACTAACAAAAAATAAGTTTCAAACTTTGTTTATTACGTAGTACTGTTTTTATTAAATGCCATCTAGTAAGTCATTCGTAAAAAAAGGATCCGTAGAACTCTAATAACCAGTCTATAAATAGCGTACTTCTTTCCATTTTTTTAAAATAATTTCTTTTACTATCTTAAATAATTTAGAAGCGTCACTTTTTCCCAAAATATGTTGGTTATGTTTCGTCTACCATTATGTCCTTTTAACACTACCTTCTGTAGACATTTTTGCAAAGATACAAATACTATTTTATTGTTTTTGGGAAGAAAAATAAAAGATACTGCAACAGAATAAGGTCTTTTGCAAAGATATGATTCACCAACACGCAAATAAGTGTTGCAAGATTTGTTTATATACAAACCTTTTTTAAACAACTTGTGCGTAACTTAAAAACATTATGTCTGCAGCATTTGCTACAATGAAGCTAAACAATTTCGCTTGTTGGTGATAGAGCTACATAAATAAGCCTTGAAAATTCTGCATGTATTTAAACTAGTTTAAATATAAATAGTAGAAGACGAAAGTTAGTGTAGCAATATGTTAAAACTTTATTGTAATATATCTTTACAATTTTGGAAAAATTTATTTTCTTAAATGAGAGATTTAATTTATTTCTAAATAAGATTTATTTCAATAAATATTTTAGCTTATGATGAGGAAAGGGAAGTGGATGAGAACGATGTCGATGTCGAGTAAGTAGCAATTCTCTAAAATATCAGATTTCAACTTTTATTATAGTCTTTTTCTCGTTATTTCGGAAAAGGATGCATTCGTAGCTAATCTAAATTGCAGAGTATTTGAATGTAAACGGAATGTAAAAACTTTAAAAAAAATAAATAAATAAAATTTAGTTTCAATTTACATTGCTCATGGTAAACTTAATCGAATTACGAAACCTTATTCTGAGGGAAATGTACAAAAGAAATGGAATAAGCCTATTATAAAATAATAGTTTGTTTCAGTGTAATTACAAAGAGTCTTTTACATTAGCGTAATATTGAAAAATTCACCGTTTGAAAGAGAAACTAAGATGATTGCAAAAGCATGCATTTGGGGTCAGGGGCCAAAGAGAGCATAAAATGAGCCACTTAGCAATATGAAGAAAAAAATTAAGAATTTTTTATTTTATTGCATTCATTTTCATCTGAATACAGGTGGTTGTACTTTGAAATTGAAGAGGGATAATCCATAATGATAAAATCGAATTTTAATTTAAATATTTTGGCAACCATTTCAGTTCATAAATTTTACAATAAGCTCATTTAAATAAATACTGTGCCATTGTTATGAGAAAACACCACATTTTCTATTAAAGTAGTTCCATGGTCTTGCTACCTGTTTTATTGACACAACTTGTAGGGAAGAATATCGCGATATCACGTGATCTAGCAACGGAAAGTTGGAAATATAATTCAATGAAAAATATTACCACTATTTTATTTTGTCTGTCCTTACTCTGGGAGCAACGTTGGCCCCTGAAAGAGAGGCCAACAAATCTGCCCTGTAAATGTCTTAGGGGTTCGAATCCCAGGGGCGGACAATTTACGGGTTTGTGGTAGTGTGACGTCAGCGACGCTGCTCCACCGCCGTGGCTCCGTCACAGGTGCCCACTGGGTAACGAGAAGAGAGTAGCAGTTCTGGCATTTCTGTGACCAACGGGACAAACCCCAAGTGCCCGCCATTAAAAAAAAATTATATATATATATTTTGTCCCCTTCGTACACACAAAAGAAAACATTTTTTTTTATTTTAGCAACATGTCTGTATAAAAATTTGAGTCAAAAATATTAAAATAAAATGCGACTTTTTAATAGACCCAGATGAATTTTTGGTTCATTTTCCAAAAAAATGAAAAATTTTAATTTTAGAAAAAAACAATAAATAAAGAATATTATTTTTTTACAGAAATTTTAGGACAACTATTTAATTGTTAAAAATATGCATAAATATTACTTTTAGATACATTTTACATATATAATGCACAACATAAATATTGCTCTAAGTTTTACAGAAAGCTCTGCTACCTCAAGAATATGGAAATTACCGATGCCCGTGATTCGTTAAAAATGAAATCATTGTTTCAAACATAATTTGAAAACATCATAATTCTTAGCAAGCAAATGTTTTGCTGCTTAGAATGAAGTTAAAAGTTGTTGTTACAAAGTCCATGTTTGAAAATGTTGAACTAAACTTATCTACAACATAAATATAAGATTTAAAAAATTTGTCTTCTTAAAAATTTCTATTTTTAACTTTCGAATTAAAAGAATTGTTTTCTTTTAAATCTTTAGCATCGAAAGTGATGAGGATATGATTGAGATAGAGGCAGAGGTTATGTCTGAAGAGGATGAAGATGAGTTTGAGGAAAGGTATATTAAAAAGTTATTATTTTTAATAATGTTTCCAAATTATTTTAAGAAGTGAAATTAACAAAAAGTAAAACGCAATAAAAGCGTTGAAATTTCAGACAGTTCCTCTGACTAAACCAGGCGAACCTTATTTTCAGCTGCTTGTTCTCACTTTTTTGAAAGTCAAAAATCCAAATGCATTGAATGAAACGAATGTTTATTTCATAAAGAGAAACCAAGCTTTTGCGTCAGATTCCGTAACTTAATTTATAACTAGAGCTTAATAAAAACTCTATGAGAATTATTTCTTTTTTAGAGAGAGAATGATATTGGAGTTAAAGAATGAGATGGATAATAAATTTGATGGAGATATTATGAATGACGAAGATGAGGTGGTTGAAATGAAAAGGTAAATTAATATGTATGTCCTTTAATTACGTGGTAATGTTTTTGGCAAAACTATTTGTATTGTTAACTTAATTGTAACACATCTTGAATATTATTCGTATTACTTAAAAAAATTGTTTTAAAGATTAAATTGGAAGAAATTGACTTTTCCGTTATATTTTTAGTTCGTATAAATTTTATTTTTATAAATGACTCAATGTTGAGAAAAATTCATGATAAATTTACCTAAAATGACGCAGAATAATTATTCGATGCGCATTATTATTGAACATGCAAGTGACTGGTGTAAATCATTCTGAATTTTGGAATTATAAAACCATCTCTGTGTTATCTCAAAAAATAATAACGAAACTTAGGAACGATGCCCTTATATGTGATTGAACTAAAACATACCAAATCAGAAAGATCTAATTCGCCACTAAGCATGAATGATGTCATGAAACAATTGGTTGTGTTTCAAAATCTAAAAACAGTTACAAAACACACCATTTTCAATAACACATTTATGTAGCAAAAAAATAAGTTAAATTTCATTATTCATTTTCTTTTTAGTGATAGAGATGAAAAGGTGTATTCCAGTTATTTTACTGAGGAAATGATTGCAAAACTGTACAGCATGGATAAAGTCCATGACAAGGATTCTATCGAGTATGGCATTCCGGATAGGAGGTATTTAAACTGTTTCAAGATTTTTTTTTTCAATTAGAGACTCAGCCATAAGACATATGTATTGCTTCAAATTTTTTTTATGTAAAATTTCAACTTCCTTTTATACGTAGTAATACTTTATATTCGCATAATATATTTTTTCATATCTTGATATAACTTAAAATTTTAATGTCTATAAATGACCCGAAACAGTCTGTGCTCTTGATACACTAATTTGTCTTATGCATGGGCAACAATCTTGATAATTAAGATAATTTTATTAATTTGTCGAGATAAGTAAAAAATACCAAANACAAATCTGCCCTGTAAATGTCTTAGGGGTTCGAATCCCAGGGGCGGCCAATTTACGGGTTTGTGGTTGTGTGACGTCAGCGACGCTGCTCCACCGCCGTGGCTCCGTCACAGGTGCCCACTGGGTAACGAGAAGAGAGTAGCAGTTCTGGCATTTCTGTGACCAACGGGACAAACCCCAAGTGCCCGCCATTAAAAAAAATATATATATATTTTGTTCCCTTCGTACACACAAAAGAAAACATTTTCTTTATTTCAGCAACATGTCTGTATAAAAATTTGAGTCAAAATATTAAAATATAATGCGACTTTTTAATAGACCCAGATGAATTTTTGGTTCATTTTCCAAAAAAATGAAAAATTTTAATTTTAGAAAAAAACAATAAATAAAGGATACTATTTTTTGATAGATATTTTAGGACAACTATTTTATTGTTAAAAATATGCATAAATATTACTTTTAGATACATTTTACATATATAATGCACAACATAAATATTGCTCTAAGTTTTACAGAAAGCTCTGCTACCTCAAGAATATGGAAATTACCGATGCCCGTGATTCGTTAAAAATGAAATCATTGTTCTAAACATAATTTGAAAACATCATAATTCTTAGCAAGCAAATGTTTTGCTGCTTAGAATGAAGTTATAAGCTGTTGTTACAAAGTTCATGTTTGAAAATGTTGAACTAAACTTATATACAACATAAATATAAGATTAAAAAAAATTTGTTTTCTTAAAAATTTCTATTTTTAACTTTCGAATTATAGGAATTGTTTTCCTTTATATCTTTAGCATTGAAAGTGATGAGGATATGATTGAGATAGAGGCAGAGGTTATGTCTGAGGAAGATGAAGATGAGTTTGAGGAAAGGTATATTAAAAAGTTATTATTTTTAATAATGTTTCCAAATTATTTTAAGAAGGGAAATTAACAAAAAGTAAAACGCAATAAAAGTGTTGAAATTTCAGACAGTTCTCCTGACTAAACCAAGCGAACCTTATTTTCAGTTGCTTGTTCTCACTTTTTTGAAAGTCAAAAATTCAAATGCATTGAATGAAACGAATGTTTATTTCATTAAGAGAAACCACGCTTTTGCGTCAGATTCCGTAACTTAATTTATAGCTAGAGCTTAAAAAAAACTCTATGAGAATTATTTCTTTTTTAGAGAGAGAATGATATTGGAGTTTAAGAATGAGATGGATAATAAATTTGATGGAGATTTTATGAATGACGAAGATGAGGTGGTTGAATTGAAAAGGTAAATTAATATGTATATCCTTTAATTACATAGTAATGTTTTTGGCAAAACTATTTATATTGCTAACTTAATTGTAACAGATCTTGAATATTATTCGTATTACTTAAAAAAAATTGTTTTAAAGAATAAAATTGGAAGAAATTGACTTTTAAGTTATATTTTTAGTTCGTATAAAGTTTATTTTTATAAATGACTCAATGTTGAGAAAAATTCATGATAAATTTACCTAAAATGACGCATAATAATTATTCGATGTGCATTATTGTGGAACATGCAAGTGACTGGTGCAAATCATTCTGAATTTTGAAATTATGGAACCATCTCTGTGTTCCCAAAAAATAATAACAAAACTTAGGAACGATGCCCTTATGTGTGATAGAACCAAAACATATTTAATCAGAAAGATCTAATTTGCCACTAAGCATGAATGAAGTCATGAAACAATTGGTTGTGTTTCAAAAACTAAGAACAATTACAAAACACATCATTTTCAATAACAAGTTCATGTAACAAAAACACGATGTTAAATTTTAGTATTCATTTTCTTTTTAGTGATCGTGATGGGAAGGTGTATTCCAGTTATTTCACTGAGGAAATGATTGCAAAACTGTACAGCATGGATAAAGTCCATGACAAGGATTCTATCGAGTATGGCATTCCGGAAAGGAGGTATTTAAACTGTTTCAGGATTTTTTTTAAAATTAGAGACTCAGTCATAAAACATATGTATTGCTTCAATTCTTTTCTACGTAAAATTTCCATTTCCTTTTATATATAGTAATACTTTATATTCGCATAATATCTGCTTTCATATCTTGATAAAACTTAAAATTTTAACGTCTATAAATGACTCGAAAAAGTATATGTTCTTGAGACATTAGTTTGTTTTATGCATGGGCAATAAACTTGTTAATTAAGATAATTTTATTAATTTGTCGAGAGAAGTTAAGAACACGAGACAAAAAAATTGTACATAGTATTTTTTATTACAAAAAAAATTCACAACTAAGTAATAAAAAATTTTTTTTCTGTAAAGGCGAGATGTTGTAGTTTTTTTCGCAATATTTATTTCTTGATAGCATCCTAAATTTTCTCGCCTTTCAACTAAAAAAAAATATACATTTGCAATCAAATGAATCCTTAAAAGTAAGAACAATATTTGAAAATTGATGCACTGATATACTGTGCACTGATATTTTATTAAAAAAACCTTTTTTTTGTAAATTTCCTTTTCAACTCTAATTATAAAAATTATCGTAAACATCCTTAAAACAAGGCATTAATCGCGCTTCATAAAAATGGCATGAAACAAGACTTTCGAAAACATTATAAAAATTTAAAGCCCTGTTTTAAAACACGATCTCTAAATTTTGAAAATTTCCAATTCGTAATTACAGTACGATTTTAACGAAGAACAAAATGTCAACTCATAGTCATATATTAAAAAAAATCAAAATTAAAATTAAAATTTTTAATGCATATAATTTCTAATAATCAAACTTTTTTTTAATCAAATATGTATTTAAAAAACAAGATGCAAAACTAGTACGTTGAAAAATTCAACTAAAATTAAACTCAAATTAGTAACTACAAAACTTAGTATTTTTAAAAGAAGATTGCGTAACAAAAACACTGTTTTTTTTTAAAAAAACATTTTATCTGAAATTTAAGACAATTTACTTTCCACCATTTTTTCTACTTTTACAACAAGCTCATGAAACAAAAACATTGCTTTCTCCAAAACATCTGGGAGAGCTGAATTTAAACAAAATTTACTTTCTATGAAAAAATAGTATTCCAATAACAAGTAAAAAATATATTGTATTGTTAGAAAACCAGTGAGCTCGAAATTATATCCAAAATTCAACACAATTTATTCTCTATAAAACTTTGCATTTAAACAATAATTGTATGTAACAAGAAACACTGTCATGAGCTCCATAGTAATGTGAGAATATTCTTTTTAAATTTTAGATATTGGAGATATGACTCTTGTGAGTCTTACTTAAGAGCTGGAAGTGATGAAGAGGATTACATGGCCATAGAAGACAGCGAAAGCGATGAAAAAGCTGGAAACAAAATAAAAAAGAAAGGCTGTTTCGCTTTCCTGTCAAGAGTGTTTAGCAGGTTGTTCAAAAAAAATTAAATTTTGAACATACCATCCTCGAACATCTAAGAAAAAGTTTGCACCATATTTCTATCGAAAATTGCAAATTTTAATGGTGCATTGTTGTTTGTAAAAAGAAAAAAAAAAAAAAAAAAAAAAAAAAAAAAAAAAAAAAAAAAAAAAAAANAAAAAAAATCAAAGAAAGAAAAAAGGCACTATAAAAGATAACATTGTCGTAAAAGCCTTATATCTACCAATCTATGCAACTTAATTTAATAATATGTTCGGCTGGAAATATAAGAACTGTAATTTGATCATCACAGAAACAACAGAACGTCACAGAAGTTAAAGTGAAAGTTTTGTATCACAGAAAAATAATTAGACTTCAAAGAAGCTGACATCGTTGTGACAGTTTTATATCTGCAAAAAAAAATTTGACGTCATAAAAGATATAATTGCTGTGAAAATCTTACAATTTTTCGAAATGTGCAATTCAATTTGGAACATTGTTATGATACAATAGTTTAAAATATGTAAATTGAATATCACAGAAAATAAAAAAAATAAAAACAAAAAAAAATAATAAGTGTCTTTTTATTTGCATATTGAATAAGTAAGCATACAATGAATTGACATTTCATGAATTAAGCTTGAAAATAATGTACTAATTTATAATTTCTCCAAAATGTCAGGTTCAAAATATTGTGGGGAGAGAGTAATGTCAACCTTCATCTATGAAAGGGTACCCTATCATAGAATCGATTTAACACGTCTTATATACTAATGAATTGCAATTGTATTTTTGTAGTGGTAGATACCCTACAATGGCTGCAATGAATCATCTAGTGGTATCCATACATCAAATTCTATCACAGATATAATTCTGGTAGATACCCTACAGTACTCCCCCACCAGAATTATATCTGTGATAGAATTCGATGAATGGATACCACTAGATGATTCATTGCAGTTTTGTGAGAAGCCGGGAGAGCTGCATTAACATCACCGTATTTTTGCTGTTCGTGAGTGCTGTATTAAGTTCACGGTCGTGGTTGCTCCTATGTTGCCTTTAGAAGTCGAGTGTATGCCGGCCGACGTTGTGTTTAACCGAGACTGAGTAGCAACAGTGCGAGGAGGTGGTTAATGTCGCAGTCACAAGTAGAAAGTCCATTCCTCAATGTGGACCATCCGTCGAAGTAGGCGTGTTCAAATCGAAGTGGGCGTAACTGTCAAGGTAGGCGTATTCATATCACGTCCGGGTCACCAATATGGGGAGAGAGTTGTTATCGACAATGTCAACCTTCATCTATGAAAAGGTACTCTATCATAGAATCGAGTTAACACGTCTTATATACTAGTGAATTGTAATTGTATTTTTGTAGTGGTAGATACCCTACAATATATAGAGTAACAAAGAAGACTTAAGTTATTGCTCCCAAATTTCTTTGTTCTATCTTATATCTAAAATACAGCACTTATTTATTTCAGTGTTCGGCTATTTGCTAAAAAAAAAAAAAACATAAAACAATTTTGTTTTTTTTCCCCTTAATTTCTAGTTTTTCATAATTAAATTAAAATAAAAAGGTATTACCACTTTTATATTCCACAGCGTAATAAATCTTCACAGAGTTATAGTTCACAGAGTTATAAAATGAAGCGTCAAATTTAATTAATATTGTTATGGGACAACGAAGGAAATCTCTTTCTTCTTTTATTTAGTGTTAAAATTCATTTCAAGGTTTGCGTTAATTAGTCTTTTCGATAAATAGTATATTCTGTTTTCTTTTAAACAAAAACGTGATCTTCCAACAGGATTGTGCTACATGACACACAGAAATTCACTTAATGCTGTGAGAAATTTTTTTTGTTCAGAATTCCGCTTTGAGGAAGATTTTTGTTACCCTTTTATTTCCATATCTAAGTCCATCTTAGAGACTAAGTTTCGAGCTTAAGTTCATAAGAACTTGGGATTTTTAAACTTATTACTAGTAGAGGTGTTTTCAAGGTCCTTTTAATTTTTATTTTATTTCTAAGTTTGTAAGATTTTGCTGAAATTTGAAATTTTGTATTGCATGTGTCCAAGTTATTTTTTGTCATCATAATTTTTTCCCCCTATATTTCGGCTAAAATATGCGACGTATGAAAGTTTTTAGACTTAAATATGCGACTTACATGACGATCGTAAATCCCGCCTGTTGTAAGTCCTTAGAATTCATATCAAAAATAGAAAAATCATAATTAAATAAAATATACCCGTTTTTTATTTAACACATGACAAGAATTTGCATTATTTATCTCTAAAATATTGGTATATCACCCGATGAATCATTGAAGAAGAACGCAAGATTAGATCAAACTGATCACTTTTTGTGACTTAAACGATGATCGTAAGCTCGATGATCGATCGATGATAAGCCCTTCGAATCTATATCAAAAAGAAAAATTAAATGAAATATACCCTTTTTTTTCAAATCATTATTCATGTTTGAAATATCGCTAAAAATTCTAAATGAATCATGGAAGAAGAACGCAAAATTAGGTCAATCAAACTGATTACTTTTTAGACTTCAATTTAGATAAGAACTTAAAGAATTATTTCACACGTAAAGTGGCGGGGTAATTACTAAATACCTTAAGCATTTAGATGGTGACAATCGTGCGGGTAGGAAAAACAGGCACAGGATTTTAAAAAGGGTCAATTAAATTTATTTATCCATCATAAATTGAGAATGAATATCAAATACACAAAATTGAAGTGCTCCTCAATAAAATTTAGGGAAAATCTTGAAATCCGAAAAAAGGTTTCGTTTTATGGAATAAGGGAAATCTTAATAATTATAATTGGTCTATTAAGTAGGTCGAGGAAAAATATTTCTCACTCTTCCATAAAAGAGGAGGAAGTCAAAAATGTTAATTAACGCATCATTTGGAGCTGAAAATAGATTAAACGACAGAATGCGAATTTAAAAGTGTGAAAAGAGCATTTTGCCAATAATAATAAATTAATCTATAAAGTTCTGTGAAGCCGATATCTCCTCACATGACAAAGTTTTGTTAGGCCGATTTATGCCCCTATGACTAATTTTTGCAGCCCTGATTTATGGCCAAAAGACTAAGTTTTTTTCTGGCTGATTCCCGCCCAAAGTTTCGTCTAGTTGGTTTCTTCCCACTTGACAAAGTCCCCTCTGCAGAGGATCAAAATTGTGATGGCATGTCTTCGGATCATCTTCAGGGATGTTTTCCAGACCGTCGCCAATAGCCCATTGTGCAGCTCTAGTGCGACGTAAATGAACAACAACAACCCACTTGACAAAGTTTAGTACGGTTGATTTCTACCCACATGACAAGTCTTTGAATCAGCCTAATCAGCCATTTATTATATTTTTCGAATTGTTCAATGTGGACCATCCGTCGAAGTAGGCGT